GTGTCTTTCAGCTCCTTGTTTTGGTTTTCTGGCCCATAACATTATTTTTTTAGTTCACTCTCACGGCTCTCATCAGTGATGTTTTCAGACAGAAAGCTCTAAAATCTAAAAACTCACTATACTCTACCTGCTCTTCACTAAATGACAACGAGCAGGCAGTTGGTGACTAGCTGGGGAACACAGTGGAATATCGGACCTTATCACTTTATAAGATTGTGCTCACAGCTTGTTTCCGCTGCCCCCAAGTGGCCAAAAATAAATTTAGTTAACACAGCTGCAGCTTTAAATATGTTGTGTATGACACATGTGGCATTAAGAGTTTTTAAACCAAACAAAACATATCTTTCTCTATCTTAACTTTTACAATATGAAAGATGGATTATTGTGATACAAACACAGGCTCCTTAGTCATTTCCTGCTTACACTAACTCGTATATTCTGACAGCATGTTGGTGACATGTGTGCTATCCCAGCTGAAATGGCCTTTTACTTGAGAGCCTGCAGTTCATCAGTCATTGTTACAGCTAAGTGCAAAGCACAGTATGTGTATTAGTCATGTTGGAGGACATTGAGAGCTGTCTGAGGTGGGAGCAGTGCATCGTGGGTCTGCTGCCGAGGGACCAGAAGTTTTTCCTCAGGGGGGGCGGGGCTGGTCTGTCCAAGACGAGTGATAAAAATGGAGATTTGTTTTAACAAAGACACACTGGGTCATTTTTTTCCCACAGAGCTCGCCAGAGTCCTGCTGCTCAGAGATATGTCAAGAAAACCTGACATCCTTCTCAAAAAGAAAACTGAAAAGACAAGTATGGCATGTACAGTACGTTTATGCTCTGGCGTAGCTATTTTAGTGATATGATTTAGTACATGTCCTTTATTAACTACACTTGTTTGCTGTGGAAAGACGTGACCGCTAAATTGGAGATGTTTGCTTTGCAGATCACAGCTTCCTGTACACTTCAGCAGAGTAAACATCACTGTGATATAAGACTGTGTGTGCGCTCCCTCTGCTGTCCCACTCTCTGCTTTGATGTGGTGTTTCCCATAAACTCTATTCTGTATGTCTGCATGCCCCTTTTGCTGTTTTTTTTTCCACTGTCTGGTGCTGTGTGCAGTATGCTTGTGGTGTGTCGATGGTTTGTCATGCTTTGTCATTGGTCTAATTGTTCTGTTCTTGCATGTTTTTTTTTCTCTTTGATTTTTCTCTTTCTTTTCTCTTTGTTCTTGTTTTTCCTCATTTCTGATGGTGAGTTTACATCTTTCTCGTGCAGCTTGTTATTTAAAGCTGTTTTTCTCTTTGTATAAATTTCATTATATGCTGTTGGTCCTCTTCTCATTGTGGCATCTCTTGTCTCCATGAGTATTTGGTTAGTGGTTGTGGTGCTCTGCTGTGTCATTGATGCATCACTGGCTTACACCCACACAAGGCCAGAAAATTTCCCCATACAGGAAGTCAGAGCTCTCCAGCTGCACTTGGGGAAGCTTTTTTGGACATCTTTCTCTCTTTTGTTGTAGATTACTCTTTTTTTCCCCTTTTTCCAAGTGCAACCTTTCTCCCCTGGGGCACACTCAAGCAAACAGTTGGCGGCAAATGTGGTTCGGAAAACATTTCCCACCTCATTGAAGACTGCTTCATCACTGCCAGATGTTTAAATAAAACATGCAGATACAGTATAGATAATCCCAGAAGTGGTATTACAGGCTGCTGAGGGACTTGAGTTTACACACTTGAGCTGTATCCCGAGGCTGTGCGTGGGCCGCGTGCACCCCGCTGAGGTCGATTTTAGCATTCTTCCTCGTTAGCTGGTGACACTTTGAGTGTAGCTGTGTTGTTTATGAAAACCGAGGAGGGTCAATCAGCCACCAAATTCCCAGAATCTGTGGGAAAACTCATATGGCGGGATAACAGACTATCCTTCACGCTGATTACTGTGCCATCACTTGCATAAACACTGTTTGTTTTTGTCAGACCTCCACAATCATTGTGGGACTGCAGTATCCCATTTCAAAGATTGAAAAGACAACAATAAACATCAGGGTTAGAAAGATGTTTTGCTGATCCTTTATCTCATCCTGAAGACAAGCTCTCTTCCTCAGACTGAGGACCACTTGACTCGACTTGATTTATGGATATATTGAATGTTTCTTACTGTAATTTGTCTCGAACCCTCCTCGGTTGTCCCTACGGTTCAAACGAAGTGCAACCTTGTGTTTTAGGGGGTCAAACTGCTAGTAAGTGTTTTTATTAAGTGGGAAACAGAGTCACTGAAATGCTGCCAAACCTTCTTGGCAGATTCACTTGTGTCCTGACCCTTTTAACGCTTCATACCATTGTCTGTTCTCTTCTTGCACAAAGACCTCACCAGGATAGAGCATGAAAGCAGCCATGTTTTCAATAGCGTTTAGACCTACCCTTAAGTGTCTCCTCACACCAAGACTAACACTTTGATGTTACTGTTGCATGTTCTTAAACCTTGGATTCATCTAACGTTCACTCTCCAAACTCTTTTTGAAGCGGACTCCCGCCTCCCTCTGATCCTAGTCAGCACATCCCGTTTTGAGGGTCAGATTGCCTGTCAGAGTCCCCCACTGCCCACTGGTCAACATAAAACCTCATCGTGTTGCACTAGCCAAACATTATTTTTCCGTCCCTTTCAAAGGCGCCAAATTAAGAGTCGAACACACCTAGATTCTTGTTCAGCAAAGAACGTGTTCTGCTTTTTTGATCTCAGATGTAAATCACACATCCTGCAGGAACCCTTACATAGCAGTCTGGCTTGTTTTAGCAAATACAGCCTCAGCAGCAGTCCACAATAAGATTTGTTAGTTCTCATACTGCCAAGTGACACATGCCGTTGGCGTCACCGCGTTTGGCTTTTGTCGCTCAAAGTCATCATCACTGACACAGAGGTTACTGGCACTCGTAAGCACTGATGTATGGGTTCCTCTGTGGACGGTCCCTCGACGCCGGTTGCTGGGGGCCCCTCGGGGATGAGGTGACCCCGCTGCTCTCGCCGTCATCACCAGCAGGGTCCCAAGTGTATCAGCGGTCCTGGGAAAGTTTCAGAGTAATACTGTGGGAACGTGAACTGTACACAGACAGCAGTGGCAAAAGGGGTAAGAGAGAGAGAGCTCTGAGTGTGTGTTAGTGTGTGTGTGTGTGTGCGTGTGTGTGTGTGTGTGTGTGTGTGTGGTGTGTGTAAATGTGTGGGTGTGTGTGTGTGTTGCGGAGGATGGGCAGGGGTTGTGGTGTAATACAGCATATGTCTGTGTGTACAGTGTGAGTTTTAGCATTATGCTGGCACGCAGCATACATTATGTGTCAGGAAGCCAGCGTTTATATGCTGTATCTCCCTCTCTCTCCTGCTCTCTGTTGCTCCTTCATTCCTTTTTATTAGAACCAGGAGGCGGGGGAGGAAATGGATCAGTCATGTTTTTGGAGCAACTCAAGAACTTTTCGTTTTGGGAGCGGAAGTGCCAAAGGCAGTTAATTTAGAGAGACAACGTGTATCTGGTTTGAGTAACTGGCTTTGGGTTAGTCATGGAACTTCTTGTAGCTCACCAGAACTGATGAGGTCATTTTTCTTTCTTATACCTGCAAATATAACCATTAAACAATCACCACCTTAGTTTTATAGACACAAAGGTGGTGTCGCCAAATATGTTTGGCTAAGAAATGGAAGCTGAGAAAAGCCCTAATAACTTCAAATAAGATGGAGATATGCCACCTTTAAAACATGTGTTGAATTACATAATGCATAAAGATAGTCCAAGTTCTTAAAATAGAGATTGTAAAATTGGATTGCATTATGAAGTAAATGGGGAAACATTACACGAGATATATTTCACAATTTTTCCACAGTCTCCCTCCTTCTCTTCCTCCTCCACCCTCGCTCTTCCCAAGGCTCCTTCTTCCGCCCTCTCTCTCTTTCCCACCCTCTTGTGTACAGGCCTGTGATCCATCCTTAACTGTTTCCAGACGCCCGTGTGCTGCAGGCCTTAACCCTCCGTCCCAAACATAACAACAAACCACCCCCCACCCCACCCTCCCCCACACCCACCCCCTCTTTCCCTCTTCAATCTTTCCCTCTGCCCTCTTACTCTGCAGTGAAATTACCAGTGCAACATTTTAAGGTCTTGGGTAACAGTGGTTAATGTTGGCCATGGGAGGATGGTAAGTATTAGTCACCTCTGACCTCAATAGCTGCTGAATTGATTCTGGGATGTTGGTATCACTTTGCTGTACAACATAATATCCCATTAGTATTACAAAACCATAGCAACCTTTCAAAACTCCTAAGTACACTCCTGTGTCAGCAGCTTGGGATGAATGCCCTTATTTTCACTTTTGTTTACACCAAAACCAATTAATGGCTCAGCACGGCTCTAGAATAGCTTGGACGCAGCATTGTTGCCAGTGAGCGTGTTGCAAAAGCTGCACACAGTGACCCGTTTGTTAGTGGGCAGAATGCTGGTGAACCAGGAACAAAAAGAGCCAGACATTGTCGCTCTGTCCTGGTGCAGTGAGGCATCAAATACCTCCAGAGTGAGCTGCATCTGCACCTCAGACTCAGTGTGCAGGCCAGAAACCATTAAAGGAGGCAGCTTGACAACAAACTCAATGCTTTGTGTTTGTTTGTTTCCTTTCAGTGTGAGCAGAGCACAGTTCTCTGTCATTTTCTTTGATTGGAAGCAGATTTTTTCTGACATGCAATGTGATTTACTTTCTAAACTCTACTCTAAACCCGACCTGCTGGGTTTCATGAGGGCTATCTCTAATAGAGAGGTGACAACTCTGGTGGAGCTGTGTGTTAACTGGGGTGAACACCAACTAAATCTTCCAGCTGTTTTGTTCATTTTGACAGAATTTTATTGAAAGTTTTGTGGACAGAATAATCTGTGGTTTTTGAACTATTGTCTGAGACAATATGTAAAGCAAAAATATTCCCAAAAGTGACACATGGCATTTAACCAGTATTGTTTTCCCATCTGTTTGTTTGCAGAAGAAAGCGTTTGAAGACATCCAACATGAGGAGGGTGGCAGCGTCCACACATCTGACAGTCACTGTTACTGGTGAGAACTCACTTTCAGTCTATCAATAAAAAAAAAATTAAATCTGGAAAATGTTTTTTAAAATTTTCTTACATTTTCAAAAGAAATTTAACACAAGTGAAAAAGTCACAATTAAAAAAAAAAAGCCTTACATAATTTATAGAGCTTTTAATTACGATAAAGTCGTGTAAATGCAATAATAAAGTCAAGGATGGTCAAAGTATAGACACATATCTTTGTGGTTAGCTGTCCAACCTGTGAGATAACACAAGGACAACTGATGAATTCAAACCGACCCCTGTCATTTTAAATACATCTGTCACTGACACAGCATCATTATCCTCCCACTTACCGCTCCAGACAACTCATATCCTTCATCATTTAGAGATAGAGCAGGATCTGCCTTGTATTGTTGATTTAACCTTTAACCTCATGCTGCTGTCTCTTTGACCTCCAACCTGACCTATTTCCTTGTTGTGTTGTGTTGTGTCAATCGCAGTTCTGTTGTATCTCTGCGCTGAGTTGTGTTGCCTGGAGATCACACCCGATGACAAAGAGCTGGTCCTGGCCGAGGGCTCTTCTCTCAACCTCACCTGCTCTGGCTCAGGGGAGACGACCTGGGAGTTTAAGAGGGAGGATGTGCCGTATATCCAAGCGGAACAGGATCATAATGGTGGTCAAAACTTCCAAATTTTGCAAATCGGCACCACCTCCAGTGTTTTGACCATGTGGAACGTGAGCTGGAGGAACACAGGGGCGTATCAGTGCACTGACCGGCACACTGGAGAAACTAAGGAGGTGGTCGTGTTTGTCCCAGGTGAGGTCTGATTTACTCTTCATTCAACATCACTGTTTTGTATCACATAGCCATAGCCATGAAGCGCTCCAGGAAGACATTGGAAAACAGAAAAATTGAATATGTAGTATGGAATTGGGACACAGCAAATGTTCACAACTGAAATAATGAAAGGAGTCATGTTCCTGTCCACAGACCCTGATGTGTGGTTCATAGAGAGCTCCCATGGCATGGTAACTAGAACCAGCGAGGAAAGCACCATCCCCTGTGTGGTCACCAACCCAAAGATCAGCGTCGCCCTGTATGAGAGGGACACTGACATGCCCATCAGGGGACATTATATTCCCAGTGAGGGGTACAAGGCACCGCTGGAGGACAGGACCTACGTGTGTCGTGGAGAGCTGAACGGGGAGGAGAAAGAGTCTCAGGACTTCAACGTTGTCAGCATCGTCGGTAGGTGTTCAGGTCAGAGAGACTGGATGGAGGAACAGCTCCCTCCCAGAATTAAAATGTGGTGATTATCGACTCACCCCCATGTGTGCTGAAACCCACAAACACACGCACAGATTCAGCCCCTTTAATTCAATCTCAGCCTACACCCAAACTATTAAAGTTAATGAGTCTGTCTTTTTAAAGCACCATAAAGAAACTCATAAAATGTCCATCACATTTCTCCAAACGGTTTATGCTGCATAATCTACAGGTTTAGCCGAAGCACTGCACTGTGAGTCCAAAGGTATAATTCATTCTCATTTTAACACATATGCTTTGGCCACACTGTCTAGTGGAAGAGAGAGGTGTGAAGACGTTTTTTTCTTGGTGAGGAGATAATGAAGTAAATGCTGGACTTTTAGTTCCAGAGTGCAATTGTTTGGCTTGAGAACACACTGAAAAATGTTGCACAAGCTGTTTGGAGAAAAACATTTCACAGTTGTAATTTTTTTTTTTGCTGAGATGGAACAATAGGAGCCAGCCATCAAGTTTAGTTTTGACTAATATTAGGGAGATTGGATAAAAATGTGAATCAGTTTGTTTTTTTTCTTACCAGTTTAGTGACTGATTCGATTTTGAAGAAGACTTTTTCTACATATTGTTTTGATGAAATACATCACCACCTCTTCCTCCTCTCCCCCGCACTCTCTCTTCCCGTCCCAGTCCCTGAGGCCATCGACGCCTACGTCAATGCGTCAAAGACCGTCCTGATACAGGGCGAACCGCTGTCAGTAAACTGCACAGTGCACGGAGTGGAGCTAGTCTTTTTTTCCTGGGATATCCCCAACAGAGAGGTGAGTAGGAGTGAAGCAGAAGGAGTGCTTTTGTTCAGCTTTCCCTTCGTGATCACTCTCAGGCTTCATGACCGAGGCCAAATTGCATCAAGATGTAGAGACACACCTCAAATTTTATCCTCCCGTGAAATTGTACTCATAACACATGGTGTTGGTATTTTAATAAGTGGTTCTTAAATGCGGAAACTTCAACTATGTCTCATTCTTAAAGATAATCTACTGTATATCCGTGGAGAAACTTTCAGACATTTTGACTAATAATATAAACCATAAAATTGATAAAATCAGTTACATATCGAGAGGGCATCACCCAGTTTCATCGGTGCATCTGTCATATGATCTTGGCTACCGATCAGGCAATACTTCCCAACACTCACCAGTATGTGATATCTAGGGGAAAATGAATTCCCTGTAGAAAAAAAAAGATTAATTTCATGTTGGATCACTTAATTTTTGATCATGTTCAACCTGATAATGAAATGTCAAATTCAGGGAGATCTTTAAGAGCGTTACTTTAATGTTGTTTTTCTCTGCAAGATTATTGAGTTGAAGCCGCAGACGGAGGTCCAGCTGGCCGCCATGAAGATGCACTCCTACCTGATCTTCCCCCGTGCCACGATGGCCCACAGCGGAAACTACGTCTGCCATGCCCTTGATAGCGTCCTGGACCAGACTGCCTCTGCCAGCGTCAACATCACTGTGCTCGGTTAGAGACACACACACACACACGCCCACAAAAATAAAACAAACTGATGCTGGGCAGATTATTATTGTGTTTCGCTGACAGAGGGACGACTGCTTATTATGTAAACCTTCGTAAGTCAAGGTGAGAGAGGAGCTTCTTTTAAAGGAAATGAAGATCACGTCTGTTTATTTCTGTTCAAAGTGAGAAATAAACCTTTGACATGGTGTGGATGCCCTGAGTGATACCTTGAAAAACAGAACTCCAAAACCTGGAGGTGCAGCAAGTCTGTTTTTAGACTTTTGGAAATAAACTTTAAGTTCACAAGAGGCGTTTGTGTAGCTGAGATTTGACTTCAAACATTAATATACAGTAAGTCAGAAATCTAAGCAGCTGAGGCGTCTGGAGACGCACTAAAAGTAGCATTCATCATGCTGAGCTTTTCTTCCTTTCTGTCTCTTCACATTCGCTGAATGTGTTTGGGCCTGTGAATGCTTATTCTGTCTGCAGCGAGGTGTGTTATGTTTATGAAATCCTTGAATAACTAGAACCACCATGCTCCGTGGAGACTGGGATGGTGTAGTAAAGCAGTCTGGACATCTCAGTGGAAAAGACAGATACTCTCTGGCCACAGAAGTTCAACAGTGAACAGCAGCAGGACAGTACACTGTTTATAGCCTACAGCCTCCAGTAGTTACTTGCATACACAAACGGTTAAACACCAAAGAACAATAAGTGTATGACTAAGTGGTTAATTCACGTTTTTTAATCCTAAATGGAAAAATTGTTATTTTTTTGTCCATAAAATCAGTTGGTATGACATGTACATGTTTCTGTATCTGATTTTTTTCCCCTCAGAGCGAGGCTTCGTGGACGTGAAGACTGCTCAGCAACAAAACATTTCAGCCAAGTTGCAAGAGAACGTGGAGCTGAGAGTTGAGATCGAAGCCTACCCTCCCCCCCAGGTCCGCTGGAGCAAAGACGGCGCCACCATCAAGGGAGACAAAACCATCCCAACCAGAGACGAGCACGAGATCAGGTGAGACGTTCAGCCAGACTTTGACCTTAAAAATGCTTCAAATACCATAATGCAGTTAAACACCTCATAGACCTTGATAAATGTAACCAATTAGCACCGGACCTCTGTTCGGGTGACAGCCTCCAGAGGCATCTAGCTCTCGTCAGTCATCACCAGATAAGGCCTCCGTAGAGAGAAACACAATACTCTCTAGAGGGCAGGACTCCATCATTCATCACACAGGAACCTTAAACACAACATACCTGTCACAACTCACAAACGTCTTTCAGAAAAAGGCCAAACAGTGCTTTAATTGCAGGGCCATGTTTTCACATTTTTGTCAACATGTGTTTGAAATCAAAAAGACAAAGCAGCATATCATCCACAAGTCTGATGCACAGATGGAGAAACTGTTCACAAACACCGCCCAGCCCTTCACCACAAATAAAAGATAATTAAAAACATCAAAAGTGACAATTTTTTATTGTAAATTTTAAACAACCACATGGGAGATGTATTTCCTGGAGGCTTGAGCTAAAAGGAAAAGCTTGGGATCTTTTTTTTTATTTTCTTTAATATTCCCTGGAGTTCCCTGAAGATAATGTCTAGAATCTAAAAATGAGTTTGCACTCCCAGGAGCAGTGGAAATATTTTACATCTCCATATCTGAAAGACTCACAGAGGAGAGAGAGCAAGATAAGAGATATGCAGCCTGTGGAGAATCTTGTTGCACGCTAAAACAGATCTACCAATCATCTTCGATATATTTATAACTCAAATCATTCCAGAGAAATGTTTGGCAGCTCATACCTATTTTGTCTGTATTTCTTTTAGGTATGTCACTATTCTCACTTTAGTGAGGGTGAGAACGGAGCAGAAAGGGCGCTACACCGTCCTCGTCTCCAACGGCGATGATGCAAAGGAAGTGACCTTTGACCTGGAGGTCCGAGGTGAGAGGATTCTCACAGTATCAGGCTGTTTTTGTATATTTTTGGCCTTTAAGCCTCATTATTGGTTATGAAACGCTGATTAGTTGAAAATAATCTTTGTGCATTGGAAAAATCAAGGACACACACTTGTTTTTATTCACGTCAGTAATGATTAATGACCGCTGCACCCCCTGTGTGTAGTCCCCTCTCAGATTAAAGACCTGATTGACCACCACCTCCCGGGGAAGAGACACTTGGTGACCTGTGTAGCTGAGGGGGTCCCAACCCCAACCATACAGTGGTACAGCTGTGACAGCATGCACAAGTAAGTCACACCACCACCCATTCATCACTGAACTGTCATACAGTGAACACTAGGGGGCTGACCATACACAGAAATTTGTTTTACTTTCAAATCATGTACATCTGCTTTGGCTTCACACCACACTGCTGCTCTCGTGTCCCGCTGCAGGTGTAGCAACCAGACAGCGGTGTGGCAGCCGCTGATACCAGAGCCAGAGGAGCTGAGCATCCAGACCAACGTGAACTACAGCGAGACTCGTAAAACCAGTCAGGTCCGCAGCCAGGTGATCTTCCACAAGCCCCAGCAGGTCACAGTTCGCTGCGAGACCAGCAACCAGGCAGGGCTCGTCGACAGAAGAGACGTTAAACTGGTGTCCAGCAGTAGGTGTCATGTGAAGAATGTCCCATCGTAATGGTTTTTATATTCCTGTGTTGGTTGAGGGACATGTGTAAAGGGATATTGGAATTATAGAACATTATATTGTATTGTATAAATGTGTAAATGTGCAGTGTACCGCTTTAAAAATAAATATAAAAAATAAGAAAAATAAAATCTCACCACATTTGGGCTAAACTAAACAAACACATGGTGGTCTGGCAAAAACAAGAGTAAATAGTCTGAAAAGTTTATATCTTTGAGTTACAGTACAAGGTTTTCACCAAACAGTAAGACTGTGTGTTTGAAGTCAAATTATGTGTATTTGTATTTAAGCTATAATTATCAGTCTAACCACTGCTTTCTTTGCCAAGATGTTTATAAAGTGAAGTTTTATGTCTGTTGAGAATTTGAGACAACTTGGTTAAGTGTTCTCTGCTTGAATTTATTACTCTGTCTTCTTCCTGGCTAATGCTCTGTGTGCTGTTGCCTGTTGCAGCGCTGTTCTCCCAGGTGGCAGTATTGGCTGCTGTTCTCGCCTTAGTGGTAATCGTTATCCTGTCTTTCATCATCCTCATCGCTGTGTGGAGGAAGGTAAGATGGACAAACTCAACTGTCAGTTTCCTCTTCACAAGTTATATGTGAATGGAAAATACAGTGAATAATGATAAAGTACGAAAGAAACCTTTTGTTCGGGTGTTTTGCTCATGTGTGTTTTCTTCTATGTCGTCAGAAACCTCGCTATGAGATCAGATGGAAGGTGATAGAGTCTGTGAGTCAGGATGGTCATGAGTACATCTATGTGGACCCCATCCACCTGCCCTATGACCTGGCCTGGGAAATGCCGCGAGACAACCTGGTGCTGGGTGAGTCTTCAGGCAGACAGGGGACAGATCAAAGTGCGGAGAGCTGGGAGTCAGTCGGAAAACCGATGCTGATATGAACCTGTAGAACTTAGTGAAATACTATGTGCGGTGCTCCCTCAGCAGTTGATTTTACTTGCCGCAACTCTAGCCATTTAAATTAGCCAAGTCAAAATATAAAAACAAAATGTGTAAAATTACATTTTAGACATTTTCTTGTGTAAAATCCTGAAATGAAAAGAAAGTACAAATTACAGGAAATAAAGGAATTCGTCATTTGACAAAACAAAAGAAGAACTGATAAAAGCAATTTGTCCATTAAAAATATATGTAATTTAAAAGGTACACAGTTACTTACAAGAGGAACAAAGATTAATAACAATAATTAATAGACAAAAAGAACATTTCACAAATAAATGTAATAATATAGTTTGAGGGTTTTGATTTAACAGTTGGTTTCCTCTTCACGTTTCCATTTACCTGCTTTATCATCATTTACATAGAAATCTCTATTGGCTTACATTTAAAAGATGAATATCCATCTATGTAGGTATCAAACTACTTTTAATAAATATATTTGTCATTGTTTTCTTTGGTTAGTTATTGGTTTGGTTAAATCATATTTTATTTGACACATTTATGAATAATCATAGCTTCATTAATTTTTATTGCTCTATCTTTTATTGTTGATCAATTTATCAATGACTTAATAACCATTTGATGAGGTCTTGTGGTTCTCAAGTGCTGTGGTTCTAAAAAAAAGTTGAAGTTTGTTAAACTTTGCTTCATGACCTTAAACCCACTTTATTTTTAACGCTCCTTTTAAACTTTTTTGTCATGTTGTTGGTTGTCAGCTGCTCCCTACAAACATCTTTCCAAGCACACTCAGTTAGACCTCTGCTCAAAGAATGATCTGTACCATCTGTTACCAGCTGCTATAACACAGTTTCTAATCTCATCTTCCTTGGGAAAACAATAGTAATGTGTTTACAGTAATATTTTAATGAACAGAAAATGTTCTTCCTTCTCAGGTCTAATGTGTGTCTATTCAAACCCTGTCCCATTGAGTCCGTCTTTGTGTTTCAGGTCGCACTCTTGGATCAGGAGCCTTTGGCAGGGTGGTCGAGGCAACTGCATATGGTCTCACACATTCCCAGTCCAGCACAAAAGTGGCAGTGAAAATGCTGAAGTGTAAGACAACACAATGTGAAAACACAGTAGAAAGCCATGTGTGAATTCGTGTGAACAATGCAGAGAGCACAGTGGAGTCCCTTGCATAGCTGTCAGATGTTGTGACACCAGTGCCATATTCCTGTGAGCACGGAGAAAGCAGCAGCCTGCTGAGCTCTAGTGTGGTTGCCAGCTGGGTTCGCAGTTTTCAGCCAACGGGTCATTGAACAGTTTGGCAAGGATGCAGTGTGTCCTGGTCTCAGTTCTCATACCTAACTCACACTGCCCAGCTTTTATACATCTTTCTCCCTCTGTTTTGTTTTCCCTTTATCCAGCCACAGCCAGGAGGAGTGAGACCCAGGCCCTGATGTCAGAGCTGAAGATCATGAGCCACCTGGGTCCACATCTTAACATCGTAAACTTGCTGGGAGCTTGCACTAAACACGGTGAGCGTCACAGTGAGCACCAGAAACCTTCAGTGCTAATACACATGATAATTAGATGATTTTATATTTTGTTTACAGTGTCTGATATCAGTGTTGAGCATTTTCTTCAAGGGAAACTGTCCTGGTGGTTCAGTAGGCTGAGGTGGCACTTTATTAATGTAATACTGTAGATATTTGTTTTGGGGGTCTAGAGACATTTCTTGACATGCTATTCAGATCTGCTAGTTTTTTTTTTAGCGTAGCAGTTACAGATGGCTTGTCTGTCCCTCCCACTCTCCCGCTCTCTGCTTGGTGTGCGTTACCTTTAGTTTTTCCTCTCTCTCCTTTAGTAATAATGGTACATGTTACTAAAGTAGTTTATTTGGAGGTGAGTTTCAGTGAATTGGGAACATTACTCTTCTTCCCTTTTTTTATATACATTCTATGGTTTCCTGCCAACTCCAGAGCAGCCAGGAAACCAGGGCGACAAGGTTACAGCCAGTAACAAGAGGCGTAGCCCTAGGCCCACGGTTGGTAACCATACACGGTCCAGCCATATACACTGCAGGCTGTAAACGTCCCCCTAATAGAAATTGTTTGTGCCAACTCATTTTGAAAATGGCCAATGGGGAAACTCCAACTCTGAGACACTTTGTGTGGTTGCAGGACATGGGGAATGCTCAAGGTGTGTGTTAGAGGTACACGTTGCATTTGATAGACATTGAATTGACCAATGGCAGAAATATGATCCCTGGACTGATCACTCACTCACTCACTCAGTCACTCAGGGATATTTGTGATTATAGGGCTGGCCCTGCTGTTGCTGTCCAGCCAGTCTGTTAAGTTTCAGTGTTGCGTGCAGCCGTGCTTAATTCATTTGTTTTCAGAATGTCCAGTTGAAAGTCCTGCTACTTCAAAGGGAAGAGGCAAGGGAAAACTACTTTGATAATTTAATATTCTATTTAAAATGTTAATGTAACAACTCATGGCCAATATAATCAGTTGATGTGAACAGATGATGGAGCAACAGATGTCCTATTTGCACTTTGAGTGGGCAGGAGGAGAAAGCAAGACAGGGAAAGGTTGTGTACCACACATTAATTATCAACTAATCTTGACCATTAGTAAAATTGTATACTCATTTAAAAAGTATTCATATAAAGACTTTCCTAAATATTCATATGTTGAGATATTGTTGGATATTTGTGTTGTGTAATAAGTAAATGTGTTCTGTCTTAGTGAAATCAGTGTCCTATTAATGTTTGGTAAATCCTGAATTTTAATTTATCTTCTCCCACAAACCAGGCCCTTTGTACCTGGTGACTGAGTTCTGTCGCTATGGCGACCTGGTGGACTACCTGCACAGGAACAAGCACACCTTTCTGCAGTACTACGCTGAAAAGAACCCAGACAATGGCTGCCTCATCTCAAGAGGAAGCACTCCACTCAGCCAGAGGAAAGGGTGAGAGAAACAGACTCCACAAAATCTCCATTCAGAGCTACACAAAGGAGCATTTTGTGTCATTTGTGCAGGCGGGGGGTTTCCTTTTTGAAATATCTGTAGGCACAGATGTCATATAAATTTTGATATGATGCGGGACCATGAATAAATACGGATTTAGGTCATTAACTGCACTGCAATTTTATACACTTCATGCATCCCTCCAGTTATGTGTCTTTCGGAAGTGAGAGTGATGGAGGATACATGGACATGAGTAAAGACGAGCCCTCAGTCTACGTGCCCATGCAGGAGCAAATGGATACCATCAAGTATGCAGATATCCAGCCCTCTCCATACGAGTCCCCCTACCAGCAAGACATCTATCAGGAACAAGGTTTGATTTGAGCCACGTGTGTCTGTGTTGATGTACCCCTTATGAGTACTGATAGTGTAATTAATGAAAATAAGTATAAAGAATTTAGCACAGCGAACACAGGAAACAAAGTAGAGTAAGATACATTTATGATGTGAGGCCGACCAGCTGCTCACAGGAGGAGGAACTCTGGGAAAATTAACAATATTTGTGTGTAAACGCACTGTATTTAATCAATGAACTTCAAATGGTGCAATTCATGAACAGATGAACAGATAATTGTTTTAGCCTAATAAATCAATGAATACGGTTTGCTTTTTGATCAAAGACCATAGAGAATGTACAGGCAAATGTTACAGCATATAAGGGCATGTCAGCCCATGTAGTCACAGCAGCTGGAGTTCCCCCGAACACAGAGGAAATGTCTTCATCCAGCACCCTCTCCTCCTCTTATGTTTGTTGTCTCACCTTGTGATTATGTTCAGGTGGTGGCAGATTGGACCTGGTCATCAGTGACTCCTCCACTCTCACCTACGATGATCTGTTGGGCTTTAGCTACCAAGTGGCAAAGGGGATGGAGTTCCTCGCCTCCAAGAATGTAGGATATTGAAAATCAAGTTCCATAATATTTATCTGGTGACTAAGCCTCTAATTACTTACTTTTATTCCCAGGTTTAGAGGAGAAGATTGATACAACTCTCAGGACTGTACACTAAATGTAAAACTACAGCCAGCAACCAGTTAGCTTAGCTTAGCATAAAGACTTGGGGCAGGGGGAAACAGCTAGCCTGACTCTGCTTACCAGCACCTCTAAAGCTCACTCATTAACATATTATATATTGTTTGTTTAAAAAAGCAAAAACAAAATAAAAAGTGTAAAAATGACCATCTGTGGGGTCATGTGTGTTATCTGTAGTTGCTGCTAGTTGCCTCTGCTAGTTGGCAGCCTCACACACATACACCTGGCAAATTTGAAACTACAGGTAGCAGACAGTTAGCTTAGCTTAGCATTAAGACTGGAAACAGCTAAACTGGCTTTGTCTGTAGAAAACAATGTCCACCTACCAGCACTTCTAAAGCATTATAGTATATTAAGTGTAAAAACAAGAATGTCATTTTATTTAATTTTATTCCACCACAGTGTGTACATCGAGACCTCGCTGCGAGGAACGTCTTGATCTGTGAGGGCAAACTGGTGAAGATCTGTGACTTCGGCCTGGCCAGAGACATCATGCATGACTCCAACTACATCTCTAAAGGCAGCGTAAGTGGCAGAATATAGATCAAAGATATGAACACACACACACACACACACACACATTTTAGTTGTTAGTATGGGAGGGATGCACTTCCAGTTGTTGACACCAAGCTGTTATCAAGTTTGAATGCATGAATGTCTGTTGCTTTGGTGAAAGCCGACTTCCAGCTGAATGTTGTAATACATAACTTTATAGAACTTAGAACTATAGATAGATAGATAGATACATACATACATACATGCATACATAGACTCTTTTAAACCTGTTGACATCTAATTTTTCAAAGTAGGTCTTAACTTTCTCACATGGAGTTTCTTATCTTTCATTCAGACCTTCCTGCCTCTGAAGTGGATGGCACCAGAAAGTATTTTTCATAATTTGTACACCACCCTGAGCGATGTTTGGTCATACGGCATTCTTCTTTGGGAGATTTTCACATTGGGTCAGTCCAAACACACAAACACACACACACACACACACGCACACACACACACACACACACACACACACACACACACACACACACACACACACACACACACACACACACATACACACAAACACAAAAATTACAAATCTAAATCAGAGCTGGTTTACACATAAAAGGGATTCATCCTCTTTAATTTCTTATATAGGTCACCTTGTACTTACTGAGGATCACCTGCTTGACTCCTCATTAATCCTTAAAGTAGCACAAACACTTCTGGACTCCTCTTGTGGTGAACTGTAAATTATCAAAAAATACAGTCTGTCTCCAGGTGTCTAAAATGACAGTACATAAGAGTATGCAATTCTACAGCAAATTTCAAATTCCATGTCTGATTGCAAGTACATACCAGTTTGTTTTAAGACTCATATGAGGTCTAAATTGTATTAAGCACAGTCAAGCCTTTAATTTAGCATTTCTTTGTATTGTGAGCTTTTTTTTCAACCCTCTTCCCACGATTTTTTGAAACTACCACGAAAATAGGGAAGGCAGTTTATATTATGTGCAGTGTAAGCCTGAGTGGTGGAAAACAAACTCACAATCCAGCCTCTGTGAGCAATAACCAAAGATTCTCTGTGCTTCACTGTTTCACTCTGACATTCATTGGACTTTTCAGATCCAATTTTCTTACAGATCTGGGTCAGAGCAAACACTTCACTGCACAACAAATGTGATAATAAAATAAATAAAATAAAAAAAGTTGGTATTGTTCTTGGAAAATAAATGAAATTCATTTAATTTGGGAAGTATCTAATAGGTAAAGACAGTGTTATTCTGTGTGCATGACTTTAGTCTAGATTAGATTTATTTTAGATTTAGATCTAGTTTAGATTTCGAACCTGCTGCATGACTTCAGATTTCTAGGTTAGCTTTTGAATTATTTGAAATGCTTTGTGCAGGAGGAACCCCCTACCCTGATTTGCCCATGAACGAGTTATTCTACAGCGCTTTGAAGAGAGGCTACCGAATGACCAAACCCGCCCACGCCTCTGATGAAGTGTGAGTCTCCCTGTCACCTTGCCTCACCTTGTTGCCCTCACAATAACTCCTCTTACCTGATGTATACATAAAAAATAAACAAATTTTATGTTGCTCATGTTGTAGTTATGACATCATGAAGAAGTGCTGGGATGAAAAGTTCGAGAAGAGGCCTGAGTTCTCATTTTTGGTGCACAGTGTGGGGAACATGCTGACAGACAGCTATAAAAAGGTACTTTATTTATACATCATCTGTATCCAAGTTCACTGAGCTGCTTTATCTATGTTAAACTGTGAGCTTGGACTTGTCGCATCCTACCACATATTCCAGATCCTCATATGTTATTCTGTACTTAGGTAAGGTTATTACCAGTCATTCATTCATCCCCTCACTCACTCATTCATTCACTCAGTGTTAACCCATCTGCCTATCAGTTTATCTGTCCCTGCTACTTCTTGTGACACTGTTGTTTACACACTGATATTTTGTATGTAGGTATGTTATGCAGCTACAGAATATACTGTATAACACAGAGGTATACATGTTGAAAAATTCAGAAGTCAGTAAAGACACATACAAATAATAAATGTTGGAATTTAGATACAGGGATTTTGGACAATGTTCTCTTTTAGAATTAGGATTATAGATAGTAATATATGTATAATGAGTTAGACAAAAAACCCAAGAAACATGTTTTGTTTTTGCTTCTCTATGGTATTGCATTGATGAGTAGCCATGCAGGTCAGTAGAAGATAAATCCAGTCAGTAATTGACAGTCACTAATATCTGTAGAAGTGGAGAATATTGCATTGGGCTCTGTGTGATTGAACTCTGCAAGACGGAAAGAAAAACTCCAAGTGTGCAGGTCTGTGCTGGTCAGAGGATGCCCAGCACGTCACATCTGCACTCTGCAACCCCAGTCTCACGAGACATCTCTCAAATGATCAAACTCTTGTCTCCTGACCACAGAGATACAACCAAGTCAGCGACAACTTCATGAAGAGCGACCACCCGGCAGTCACTCGCACCAAACCCAGACTCTCATCACCCTTTCCGATCGCCAATCCATCATTTGGCTCCCCCTCGTCCGTCACCCTCTCCTTCCCCCCGGACCCCTACAACCAGAGCCCGAGCCCAGGAGAATTCAGACAAGAGGCAGACACGCAGGAAGTTATAACTTCATACAACGAGTACATCATCCCCATCCCAGACCCCAAGCCGGAGGAGGTTTTCACTGACGAGCCATCAGAAAGCCCTGCAAGGTACAGAGCCGCTGAAAACATGCTGCAGATGTGTGCCAAATGCTGGGGTTGCAAGAAAAATGAGGATGTATTTGCTTAACAAGAGCATTTTTTTTTCCACCACACACCCACTCACCCAGATGTTGAGCTGAGAGACAATAGCTGTATTATGAAGGCAGACATGGAGAAATGTTTTTATTGCTCATTTTATTGATATAAATAGACAGCCAAGCAAAGTTGGCTTTAAAGACCATTAAATGTTTGACCACAAAATCCAGGTATAGTCACGTGAAAAACAAGTCATTATTAACTTGGATTTAGTTTCAGTTTTGTGAGTCATTCAGTTTGAGAGTGATAGCAGGTTCCAATCCTGTGTTTTGATTTTCGGCAGTGGTGTGAATCTACTGCTTACATCCGGATCACAGATTGTGCCTTTAACACTGGGGTTAAGGTTTGAGGTCTTTGGTCTCCTCGTGAGAGAAGACAGAGAAGAACTGTTCGGTCCAGGATTGCTGACTCATTATCCATGAAGATCTCATACATCAGGCAGAATAAGCTTAAAATCAACCATGGGCCAATCAATAACAGGATTATTCAATGACCATCCTTCTAATTTTCTTTAAAAACTGTAAAGCTATGGCTGAAACAATTTATCAATTAATTGATTAGTCGATGAACGGAAATAATTTGGCAATTGTGATGGGTATTTTCACTATTTTCCTCACATTTTAATGGACCAAAAAATTACTTAGATAATCAACAAAATAATAAGAAAATTATGAACAATAAAAATAATGCATTAGTTGCAGCTGTATTCATGGCCTTCAAAGTTAAAACATTTTAGTTTCAGTTGTATAACTTCCAGTAAGTCAACTCATCATTTATTTTCAAACTTGATATTAGGCAGATGTTGTTTAACATCCTTAAGAAGTAAGATGAACTGCCCCTTGTATTATTGATTACTAAGAAAAAAGATCAATTGATCAAGATCAATGTGGCAGTAAATCGATTCGTCCTATTAATTTAATGCGAGAAGCACACAGGGAGCACTCAATATTTATCTACGCGAGGAGTTGTATTGGAAAATACATGCAAGAATGGAAGTACTGATCATTTAAAGCAACATATGCATCATTTCCTTAAGTGTAATCAAAACAAGTGCAAGAACCACTACTGAGTTAAAAATATAACTTGTGGTTGCTGAAGGGAAGATGTAACAAAAATGAGTAAAGATGTCAGGATCAGCATTAATAGATAATGATCATGGCGTGTCAATTTGTGAGTCATACGTGACTGAGCATACTGTGTGAAACTGTGTTTTGTTTTGTCTTCTCTCAGTTCTCTGGCTCTGGAGGAGGAGACGGACTCCATGTCTCAGGACACGGCTGACACTCTTCCAGAGGAGGACAGGCTGGAGGAGACCAGTGAAAGAGACGCTCTGCTGGGCTCCTCCGGGACGCCGGAGGTAGAGGACAGCTTCCTGTAGTCACACGTAGGAACCCTGACAAACCAGAGCCCTTTTTTTTTTTTTTTTTTTACATGCCTGAAAAAGGGAACATGACTAAACTAGAATGTAGCAAAATGGAGACCGAGAAGGCAATCTTTGTATTTCCACTAAGCACTCTAAAGTTTTGCCCTACTCTGAGTTTTTGTTTCACACTTAGTACCTCTGGAACTGTTAGAAATAATGAGCGTGATGTCATCAACCAGTCATTTATCGGAAGCTTGCCACAATATAAAAACGGTACTCTTCTCACACTTATAGAATCAGTTTACAGTAAGCACAGATGTGTTTACTGTATTCCCCAATGGGATTTATTATTGTGAAACATTTAGCCATTTGTCCCTTTTTGGCTGTTATTATTATATCACGAAATCCCCCCTCCCTTTCACATCGGGTGTAGATCTTTGAAAAGCGGGTGATTTTTTCATTTTTTTTTAATGAACAATTTCATTAATAAATCAATAATACAAAATAATTAACAAAACAATAATAATGTACACACATAAAAACAAAATGCTGTCCATACAAGAACAATTCCAATATTAATGGGAATCATTAACATCACTTAAGGACCTAAACTATCATCAGATACAGTATGTGAGAATATGAGTAATTGAATTAAAACTTTACGTTGCATTGTTTTTCCTTGCCATAAGTGCGGCCAACAGCTGCAGTTGCTGTAGTGTAAGATTTTTGTAAATGTTATTCCCAGGATATGAAATGCAGACAGAATCTACATGCACTGTTTTACTATAAAATTTGCTTTTTTTAGTTTTATATGCCATAGAGTCAGAATTTTCCAGTTCTCTTACTCTTTTTTTGGGAAATATATGAGATTTTTGGGATTATATGAAATGTATATTTCATTTGTGAATTTTGAATAGTGTCTTGAATTTTGAATACTTGTTTTGTGTAGGCTTAATTCACAGTTCTGTGCCAGATTTGCACTTTATATAGAAAAATGTGGATATTCATTATGAAGAAAGACAAATGTACACTATGTTAAAGATAGAAGATTACAACTAAGAACTTTGATTTATGACTTAAGTATGTGGCTGTTACAGTGATTATGACACTCAGTTTCTGTGATGACAGGCGACTCAAGTGAATATAATAAATACAGCGTATCACTGCCTTAGCACAAGATGGCACACATAAATGCCTTTGTATAGACTAGAGATTTATGTCTTGCAGCTACAGTATTGTTGCTTGCTGACATGAAGGGCTACTGTACTCAAGGAACCTAGATAGCCATATGTGTACATGTAAAAATGACGCTTTTAGTCTTGTGTTGCATTCTCTAACATTCACTTACACAATGTTTATGTTGTGTAATTAACACAATACTTCCTTTACATAAACCACCTTTTAAAACACCACACTTTTATTTTCCTGTAGCATTTGTTACACAGTATAAAATGCACAAATCACTGTATCACAAGCTATGGTACCAAAGCTCTTCTTAACGTTTACAAATGTATTTTTATATGTGTCATTTTATATGTTGTAAATGTGACAATAAATGTGTATTATCATAGTATTATTGGAAGTGTGAGTCTTTTATGAATGATGTGAAGTCAGTGGTTCTCATCTGGCTGCCCTTCTCTGTCTACATCAGTTTTTCTTCATTGTTTAAACAGCTCAAAAACACTACAGCTAAACCACTAAAAAGTACTAATACTGGTGGTCTCAATAATATAAAGCTAAAGCACATTCACTGATTTGTAGCTGGATCTTTTTGGAAAAAAAGAACTTACTTAAGAGATGTTTTTTTTCCTGATGTGAAGTCTTACTCAGAACAGATCCTATCTAGAAGAGTGACTTCTCTCACTCTGCACCCTCATCTTTCTCTGACTCCTGGGTCAGATTTCTAAGAGCCCTTTGACTGTCCTCCCCTCTCCCACGAGTCCACGTTTTTCCGGCTTAGAAAAGCCTGGCAGCCATGGTTCTACAGTGATGGAGATGATTAGTCTCACCTCCACGGGTGTCTCGGGAGAATTGTGCCTCTCTGTGGCAAATTGGTACTAGCTCATTAATTAGTTGAGCGTGATATGCTGATCCGCCTCCCCCCTCACACACACACACACACATACACACACACACACACACAAATACACACACACACACACACACACACACACACACACACACACACACACACACACACACACACACACACACACACACACACACACACACACACACACACACACACACAATTCCCTCCACCCTCCACCACTTGCTGTCTGAAAGATTTCATGTTTGCTGTGTGACTTCTGTGGTCGAAGACACTGTAAACAAGCAGAAGGGAGAAGAAGGGCAGAGGCAAACAGAAAGGGAAGAACGAACTCCTGTCTCAGCTCTGGATGCTGGAAACATCAAACCCAGGGACATTATTGTACCCCCTCTGTTCAGCTGAAGACATCTGCAGGTGAGTAGTTGAAATAAATGAGTGATGCTTTCGTAATGCATGGGATTTTATTTATATTTTAAGATGTAGAGATGTACTAATTCCCATAGTTGTGACCAAGAAATGCTTCCTCAAAGTATTTCATATGTTAGTCTGTTTCCTTATTCTAATGTACACAAAACAGAATAAACAATGCAAGAGACTGTGGTTCAGCATAGTTTCATCTTCAACAATGCTGCTCAGACCAGTCAGAAAAGAGAAGTTCATTATGGGAATGAGTGGTAGGACAACTTCTGAGGTGGTGTTCCCTTTTCCCTCTCCAACACCGCCACAGATCAAAAGAAGAGCATTTGGTAGCACACACGGACATCAACCTCTCAAACTGCAGGTTTGGAGTTGATCCAGGATGCAGTCATACCTCACGGTGCTGCTGGGGATTGTGGCCTCTGCTGCTTCAGGTAAGGCCCAAAAAAACACTGACTGTTACATTTACAGCTGCAGTGATTTGTCCTTTCACTCTATTTATTCACTTTTTGACAACAACTGTAGACATAAATGAGTAATCCGCAATCTGAAATAAAACAGTGGAAGAGAAAGACAAGAGAAAAACAAACAAAAAAAGACTGTTTTTTTAATGATTTGAAAGATGTAAAATCTCACAATGTTTAGGGTTCAGTATATAAAAAACTGTAAATGTTGAATTAAAGAAAACGTTAAATAAATCCAATTCCTATGATATACATTTTCTACATTACATATTCATCTGCACGACAGCTAACCAATTATTTATATAATACTCTGAAAATATCTTCTCAGACATGAATTACTGTGTATACAGCACTTATGATTTTACCGGAAATTTCATATACTTGCATAAACCTGTGGTCAGTGTGGAGCAGTTGAGAGACACTTCATACTTCTCCATCTGAGATCTGACACTCTATTGTTTGTAATGAGCAGAACAAGTGTCCACAGTATCATGAGTTGTTTTTTGGGGTCATTGTTGTGATACTTGTTTTTGTTTTTTTTTTGGATTCTGAACACCACAAGTATGGGTATCACCCGCTGGGCACCAAATTGCAATTTCATGTATTTGTATTTGAGCACATAAAAGTATCTGTTGTTTGGTTTAATTACAGCTGAATGCATTAGCTTTGCTTTCTGGTGGATTACTGTTTGAGGTGTAATTGGGGTCATTTTGAGGTTGGATGAATGGTTCATTTAGATGATCGGAAAGGGGCTTTGGGTGAAAGGCAACTGTTTACTCTGACAGTCGGGATGTTCAGAAAAAATAAAATGCCGATTGGTTCCAAACATCATTTTGTTCCTGGTAAGTCTACTAGTGCTGAATTGAAAAAAATGCTGAACTTGGAATCTCAGTTCTGCTTCAAGCTCCAAAAGACACTGTACAAACGTCTAAATGGAAACTTTTATGACTCTTACAGAAAGTGTAGTTTCAATACTCAATAAGAAAGAAACACAGATTAACAGGAAAGGTACTCTCAGTCAACATAAGTGTCAACAATTTTCAAAAAAGAGTTTCAACCTCAAACAACCCCTATAACTGTCCTGCTGAGTTTCTACAAACTTCCAAGTCCTCCACAAAGGCATCAAAGAGAGCCCTGTTCTGCCTCCCTAAATCTTGCTTTGTTATTCCCTCAGGGTTGGGGCCCTTTTTTTCATTTTTTTATTTTTTTATTTTTTTAAATTTCACCCTCAAAGATGCCTGTTAGATATTACTCCATTTTCCATGCTTAAAATGCTTGGGTGTTGTGTTGAATACAGCGGAAAAAGTTAAAATTAAACAGTAACAGATTTGAAGCTTTCCATATTTTCTGTTTTTGTGCTGCCAGTGTTTAGATAGCAACACTGTGAAAAGCAGAAGTGAAAAGGATCGAGAGATGTTATTCTGGTCCAAGTCTTCAATCTGTTTCCTGAACTCTTGAGATTACTTCCAACATAAATCTGGATCCTGGAGCAGATGAGACATCTCTGAATTCTCAATTATCTCAAAATGATCAAAACAGAAACAACATCCTGAATTTTCAAGGAGTAACAGCAAAATAGAGCAAAACTACAGTCTAAGAACTTAAGTAACATAGTCCGTTTTGATTGATTTGCTCTCACACTTCTAAAAAGTCAATAAATGCATTCATTCATTCAAATTTGCATCCCTTCTCAGCAGAATGGAGTCGTCCGGTGATCAAGTTCAACTCTAAGGTGGTGGGCAGTTCTGAGCTAGTGGTCAAACCCGGGACCCCTCTTGATCTGAGGTGTGAGGGTGACGGTCCAGTAAACTGGCAAACCAGGCTAGCCAAGCACAGACGCTACGTGTCCAAGGGCAACGGGAACGTCCGCACCCTAAAGGTGGACCGTCCCTCTGCAGAGTTCACTGGAACGTACAAGTGTTTTTACGTTGCTCAGCATCGTGACCTGACCTCTTCAGTGCATGTGTACGTAAAAGGTGAGCTCGGATAAATGAGAGTCCGGCTGTTCTGTGCACAGAAGAGTAGGACAAGCTTCCTAATGTTCAGTTCTAAGTGCTTGCATGGATTATTGTCCACCCTGGTTATACCTGTCTGTGATCGGTTATTAGATTCTGTTCTA